GCAAAGGTACAAGTGTCTACAAGCTGAAGGGATGCTTATTTTGATTAATGAGGGAAATTCAAAAAAAAATATACAGCTTCTGAAATATAAGCTGGTTTGTTGGGTTGGTGGGTTTTTTTTTCCCCCACATGAAAATGAACAGAATGCCGGTGCTTTTGTTTCCAAGCTCAACAGGGTTCAGACATTACCTGTGACCCTTACTGATAATTAAATTCTAAGACCTTGGTGGTAGAGATGTGAATATCAGGTAAGACTAATAAAGTATAGGGTATAGCATCTCAGGAATGATAATATTCTAATTTTACTAGTCTGCAGTATTGCATGCAGAGATGCTTTACTCATGTGTTTATCTTCCCTTTTTATTTCTCATTATTTTAATTTTTTTAGATTTTCTAATTCTCAATCATTTTAAATATAACATTGAAAAAGTTCTTACAAAGCGATGGACCTTGCTATGCACGGTGCTATTTAACTGCACCAGAAGTGCATTTTCTCAGAGAACAGTTTCTGTGAGAAAAATTATTGCTACATGTGCTGCACGCAGGCAAAGCAGGTGTAAATTGTTCCACAGGTTTACGGTCCCACGATTTATGTCAGCGCGATTCCAAACTTGACAGGCGAAGAGTTTGTATCTGCCGAGAGCTCTACTATTTATAAATAGGACACAAAGCAGGACTGGGGCTGTAGATGTTTCCTCACCTTCCATTTGGCAGGAAAAATGACGCAGTCAGGATCACTCAACCCCGCTAGCTGTGTGTTTGCAAACAGCTATGGCTGCAGCCCCCAGCTCCCGTTAAACGCCATGTGCGCATGTGGAGAGGAGAGGGGAGGAAGGACCAAAGCTTGGAAGACTGGAAATGCAATCGGCATGGTGAAAATCAGATTTCCACACAAGCCTGAGGCGGTGGCCTGTGGGCAGTGAAAGCCGCCCTTAGAGCTGCAGGTAGTGTGGTTTGCAGCCCAGCAGCACAGCGGTTCCTCTGAACTGAACAGCAGCTGCACCTCTGCATGCGGAGCCTTGGGTGGATACGGCGATATGCTTAGACAGCTTAGAGTCTGTCACCTCTCCTTAATTATTCCCAAATCACCCTCAGTGAAGGATTTTCTTCAGATCTGACATAATTATCTGCTTCTGCGACAGAGGGATGCCGCCTCTACTTGTATCCCAAACTCTGTCACGAAGTTTAAGTGAGATGCAGTGCCCACAGCAGATTCGCCATTTCAAAAGAATATAATCTATAAAACTGTTATTGGTCCGCTATTGATTTAAATGATTAAAAAATCAGCTCAGCCACAAGATGCTCTACAGTTTCCTGTAAGTCTATTTTTGCAGAGTATCTCAAAATTTCAGAAAACCACCGTACAGTTTATCTTACAGCGATACAATGGATTTGTATTGCACTGCAAATACTCAGCAGAAGCTATGTGAGCCATTAAATTTTATCATGTCACCATTATTTTAGAAATACTAAGGATACTAACTCATACACTTCTACCCTAAAAACAGTGATACACCATTGCCAGAAAGCAAGTAGAATCTTCTGTCCCACCCCCTGCCCCACTTCAGACAAAACTTCCAATGTCTTCCATTTCTATACCATTTTCAAATGTTTGAGAGTTGAGCCATACCCCAAGATTCATTCCATCACCTTTAACACCTTTACTCTGGCCAAATGACCAGTGGTCTAAGTGTTAAAACCTAGTCTGATATCTGTAATTTCCTTTTAATTACTTTGGATAAAGGAATCAACAGCAGTGGCCACAGGTTTCCATTTGCCTATTTTTCCTAACGCTTCTGCAATGAGTCGAGAGAACATCTTGAACTCTCTGCCCCTTTCCAGACTTTATGCTGCCTCCAATGGTAATTAATGACAGTAAAAATTAGCATGGAAAATGTAATGAGCCACAGCAAACTGTCACGCTAGTGACATCAAAGTTCAAAACGCCATTGCCCTTCACTGTTACCGTAAGTACTTCACAACATTTGTATTTTCCGTAAGTCAGGCTCTTCTAGCTCTAAAGTAGCAGCACTGAGCTGCATGCTCTGCCCTGTTGACTTCAGCTGTCCTTTGAGAAGAACAAGGATTTGTATGGCAGAAGTGATCCAGGCCAGTTTTGGACATTGTCTGCAAAAATATGAAGTATGCACATGCCTACTGTCCGGTACTTAGCATACCTGGACTAGACAGCAAGTGGTTTATTTACAAACTGCTTATATGAAAACCTTCAAAATAACTTCGGGAATTTTTAAAGCAAGTTTTAGAGTTTAGACCCCTAAATATCATCTAGGAAAATGAAGGTGCCTTGCTCAAATGTGCCATGCTTTCAGAAAGTTTGTAGGCATGAGGTTAAGTCTTCAGAAGTCTTTCTATCATGTACAAATGCTACGTATCACTTTCCAAAGTGACTCAGGCACACCTGAAAATTGTATACACTGTATCTTAAGAGTAGGAAAAAAGCCCTTGAAAGCACTCTGTCACAAGTCTGATCGCTAGTGGGCTGCTGTGCTCTCCTAACCCTCAAATACCACCACCCAAAAAAAGGGGTACATAGAGGTAGAACTCCGTTATTTCTATTTTTCCATACAGTTGTGTGTATTAAAATTACAGATGGGCATAAGATATTTATGCTGCCCTGCTTGGCACCTATCTGGAATTGCACAAATTTTTGGTAACTGCAGCTTACTTACTATACACTTAGCCAGATTTGAACTGCCCTTTTCAAGTATTGCAAAAATGCAGCTACTACAGCACAGAGCTCAGCAGAGGTTATTTGTCCAGGTATTCATCCCACTTGTCTGGCTGATGTTTTCTGTCTTGTCGAGGTCTCTATTGCTATACCCAGGAAACTTTGCTGGCTAATTTGAAGATGAGACAGGTATCTAAAATATCTGTAACCAAAATACTGGCTGCATTATTCCGCTCCATATGAGTCTTATTCTTGATGGGATGCAACTGAGGAAAATATATTAAAGAAATTAAAGTTGAGTCTTGCAAAAAAATCATAAAACCATAGAATGTTTTGGGTAGAACCTTAAATTAGGTCCCAACCCCCCTGCCATGGGCAGGAACCCCTTCCACTAGACCAGGTTGCTCAAAGCCTCATCCAGCCTGGCCTTGAACACTTCCAGGGATGGGGCATCCACAGCTTCTCTGGGCAACCTGTTCCAGTGCTTTACCACCCTCTCCATGAAGCACTTCTTCCTGATATCTAATCTAAACTTCCCCACTTTCAATTTAAACCCATTACCCCTTGTTCTGTCACTACATGCCCTTGTGAAAATATGCATATTTAGTTCAGGAAATAAAATCTTGCAAGTAGGCAGTGTGTGCCCAAATGAACTGTGATTTTAGTTTTAGGTGCATTTAAATGGGGAATAATTCTGTGTTTTCTATCAAGAGAGACCTTTTTATTCAAATGTGGATATCCAAATAGTTTATTTAAATTGAAGGCTATTTTTTTTAATTCAGCTTCCAGACTTCTTATATCAAGCAGTGAAACAGTTTTTTGTTCTGGTGAAAGCAGATTTCAGACACTTGTCAGAAATACACTGGCACAGCTGCATCCTACAGATGTGCCACAAGCTAGTCCCTGAATGCAGACAATGAAAGGGTAATGAGCCATTTGGCTGGTGAAATTGAGACTTTTAGCAAAGAGCCTTTGGGAATAGGCACTAAGAAGCTTGAAAATCAGGTGAGGGGGAGTCAAACTGTGCATTACCATGTTTTAGCACTGATCTACTTGCATTTGATAAGAGATGAATTCTCTTTCTTTGGAAAGGCATTTTTTTCTATCTCCCTAGACTTGCTGTAAGATATCAAAAAGTTACGGTATTAAGCAATCTAGTCAATTCCGCCAATCTTATTGCAAAAGACAATTAGTAATAAAGTCTCCCTGATTTCAGCAGTACTGCGGCTCACACCTCACCAGCTAACACCCCCTGCTGCAAGTAACTAGCAGCAATATCAAAGGCAGTTGTCATCCTTGAAATATTCAAGGTAGAAAAGACTGAAAGATGGAGATTGCACCTGAGTTTCGTAAATACCCACAGGATGCTGCTAGAGCTCCTGCAATCATTTTCACTGGGCAACTGACACACAAAAGAATAATAATAAAAAAAACCCAGTGCTATCAGGTAGTGCTGTTGAGTTATTTAGCTTTAATATACAATTTAAACCAGATATAGCTTATTCTTCCCTGCCTCTGAAAATATACCATAGCATGACACACCTTCCACATCCAAAGGGGTTTTCTCTCTGTCCTCTGTCAGGGAGAATTACTGGGTGCAGTAAAGCCATGAGAAAGAACTCTCCCTCTCACAATATTTAGTCCCATGACTGTCTGATACTTCCAACAAGACTCTGTAAGACAAGTATCTGAAGAATTTGCACCACTGGCTTTATGCTGAAAGAGAACTTTTTGAGGCAAGGTGTTACTTGAAAAAAAGGAGAAGAAAATCAAAAAAGGAAAAACAACACTGCCCATATTCGCTGAGAGAACAACTGCATCAGAAAAAAAACCCACCAAACAACATTGTGTTCAGCAATAAAGCGATATAATACACACACAACGCTGAAAACCAGATACCTCAGTCTGATTTCTTTGTAGCTACAGAACTCCGAAGGCAAGGTGTTACTTGAAAAAAAGGAGAAGAAAATCAAAAAAGGAAAAACAACACTGCCCATATTCGCTGAGAGAACAACTGCATCAGAAAAAAAACCCACCAAACAACATTGTGTTCAGCAATAAAGCGATATAATACACACACAACGCTGAAAACCAGATACCTCAGTCTGATTTCTTTGTAGCTACAGAACTCCGAAAACCAAAAAGAACATTTTGTGTACAAAATGACAGTGGGGGCATGGCTTTGCTGTGACTTCCTATTGTGCTGAGGTACTGGTAATGGAAACTTTTACTGCGTTGTGTTCTCTGAGCAACTTCCCTAGCTGTGGTTTTCTGCAATTCCCCTGATAAAAGCAACAAAGTGGTGAGAGTTTAGCAAGTATGTAAAACGCTAACATGCCTTTGACACAAGAGTTCTCAGAAGCAAAACTGTATAAAATTGGAGACACCCAAACTAGGTCATTTCTCATCTGTTGGCACAGCAGGTGTTATTCTGATGTTTAATTTCAACATCTCCTTTGATTTAGTTCTGAAGAGCTTTGACGGAATTAGAGAGCGCAATGGGAAATACTGTGAAAACGCCGAGAGCTTCTGAAGAAACAAATGTGCCAAGCCAAACGGGTAAGCGTTCATTTAATTTCTTTCAAGAAAAAAAGATGTCCAAAATGTATGGTACATTCATCCATGTGTCATCCTACGTCCTCCTGACACAGTAAAAGCAGGCAAGTGCGTGACTGCTGTGGGAGAAGGAGGGAATCCAGTAGACAGTGCTTATTTTTAGGCACATTCTAGTTCATTTTCCAAGAAGTACTTTAATTAAAAACCCAAATGCTAAAACTATTATTTGCTGCTGCTCCTTTAAAGACGTTCCTTCCAATTCAGAAAGCACTGAAGCGCTACTTTAGAAACCAGAATACTAAATTTTGGCATACTTGCATGTGATATTTTATAGAAATTTGTTCTTGAAATTAGAGTTTTCTTCACTTAAGGTTAAAAACCTTAATGGTGTTATGCTTGCACCCAACCTGAAGTCCACTGTTAGACAGTGGCATTAGAAGTAGTAAGCAGCCAACTTGTCACCTGCTTTATCGATAAAGGATATGCAGAAATACACATTCCACAGCCGAGCTGGCAAAGAGGGATCTAACACATCTGCCCTATGCATCCACATGTGAAAAAAATCAGGTTGCAAAGCCCCCCTCCCTCCCCCATAGGCTGGTGGAGGTCATGGATCTGAGGGGGAAAGCAAAAGGGATTCAGTGACCTGCTACTCCCAAACTGCGAGTAGGTGGAGAGTAACTGCAGCCTCAGCTCACATGCCACGATACAACAGGCAGCTGGTACAAGAACTGCAATAAACCACTCCCCAAAGCTGAGGAAGAGAGAACAATTTGGGGGTTTTTAGGTTTGGGTTTCTTTTGGAGGGGAGGGAAGGCATGGATCAAAATTTTCAGATTTTACATGAAAGATGGTCAAGTTGTGCTGCTTAGTATTACAAGGAAAGGGAATCAACCTGGTTTCATTAGTGCTGGAAGGAAGCCCAGCCCAGCTTTTAGCATGGCCAAGAACTAGCTGATATGGGCAGCTGTGGACCTAATAAAGCAGACACCAAACACTGTTATGTGCTGCACAGAGGCACATAATATGAACTGACAATTTTTTTTTTTGGTGAAGAAGAGTGCCTTATGTTATTCCCAACAACTGCTGTCACAAATGCCATAACCATCGGAAGACAGACACGAACGCATTCAGAGCAGGGCTTTGCTGATGAACAGGGGAGTGAGGGGTCGCTGCCATGACTGTGACCAAGCTTGCATTATTCCTGGACATACTAAAAGTCAGTATTTAGCAGGGCTAAAGCTAACTGCATCCCTTCCAGTGACGTAAATAGAAAAAGATAACTCAGCAAACACTGATAACCCAGCGTTTGCAAGGTGCTATTACCCATTTAGTAATTCAGTCCACTTGTACTCTCCTACATGTCAGGCACATCTAGAAAGGTGCTTTATCAGATGCTGCCTGGCCAAAGGAATCAAACACCTTTTCTGTAAGGAAAGGCTGAGAGCGTTGGGATTGTTTAGCCCAGAGAAGAGAATGCTGCAGAGAGAACTTATTGAAGTCTTTAAATAGTTAAAGGGGACTTACAGGAAGGATGGGGCCGACTTTTTAATAGAGACTGTAGTGATAGGGCAAGGGGTAATGGTTTTAAACTAAAAGAGGGTAGATTAAGACTAGGCATAAAGAAGACGTTTGTAAGATGAGGGTGGTAAAACACTGGCACAGGTTGCTCAGAGAGGTGGTAGATGCCCCATCCCTGCAAATATTCAAGGTCAGGTTGGATGGGACTCTGAGTAACCTGATCCAGCTGAAGCTGTCCCTGCTCATTTCAGGGAAGATGGAATACATGACCTTTAAAGGTCCCTTTCAACCCAGACTATTCCATGATCTAACAGCCTGCATAGCTCTTTGGATCTAACTCCTAGTCTGGATCATACCAGCATCTTTCATAATGGTTTAGCTGTTGCTAATTAAATTTGGGAACACAAACATCAGTACTGTCATCCAAATCCAATTAAAACAGACTTTAAAAAATGATCTTGGTACTAAAAGCCTATATTGGGGTTGTTAATCCAGGGAGTTTGTATATAGCTGTCTTCCCGAGCAGATCAAACTCCAAATTACACCACCAAACACAGAAGTTTTTCCCCAGGCCAGGAGCCACCTGTGGAGGTCGAGGATCCTATCCACAGACTTATAACAGTTCCAATAGTTAGCAGGTTTTACACTGGCTCGTTTCAGTGAGATGGAATAAAGTGAAGGACTGAAACAGAAGGGAGAGAAAGAAAGGAAAGAATATACAACAAGGAGGAAGAAAACATATTTGGAGTCCTCAGACTTGATCTGCAGCGTGAACATAGAATCATAGAATGGTTTGGGTGGGAAGGGACCTTAAAGCCCATCCAGTTCCAACCCCCCTGCCATGGGCAGGGACACCTTGCACTAGACCAGGTTGCTCAAAGCCACATCCAGCCTGGCCTTGAAGACATCCAGGGATGGAGCATCCACAACAACTCTGGGCAACCTGTTCCAGTGCCTCACCACCCTCTCTGTGAAGAATTTCTTCCTGATATCTAATCTAAACCTCCCTGATTTCAATTTATACCCATTACCCCTTGTCCTATCACTACAGGCTCTTGTAAAAAGTCCTCTCCCAGCTTCCTTGTAGCCCCTTCAGGTACTGGAAAGCTGCAATGAGGTCTCCTCGGAGCCTCCTCTTCTCCAGGCTGAACAAGCCCAATTCTTGCAGCCTTTCGTCATAGGAGAGGTGCTATGGTACATAGCATACACTATGTAACATGTTTATGGTATAAGCCCCTCGTGCTGCCTGAGAGCTGTACTGAAAGCAAAACCTTGTGCTTTCCTCACCTCCAGTGCATCAGTCTTGGTCCTGAGAAAGGGAACAGTGCATAAGCTGCATTTCCCCAAGAGGCATTTGGACTCCAAATATGACTGCACTCCACCTGAAAGTGCCTTATGGGCATCCCTGACACAACCTAGGTACTGATAACAGAGTAGTTACGGCAGCAAGGGTAACTACTTGCTGCTCCCTCTTTCCTCCCTTGGGACCCTGAATGAAGGGTTAACCCTTACTGACCTGCACCTGCATAACTCTCAGTTCCCAAGCTGGCTGGTTTAGATCTAATTTAGGTACCCCAGTGCGACTCGCAGCCACACCTGACGGCTGCTGCACAAAGAGCCTCCCAGACACGCATGAGTGCCCTCCTGTACCCTCTCAGGTACACACCACGCCATAAACCACAGTATTTCTGCTGGACAGTAAAGCTGGGATGATGCAGGGCTCTGAGCAACTCGTTCACACTCCAGACAGCGACCACACTGGTGCACAGCACACCAATTTTTGAGGGTGATGAGCTGATCCAGATGCCCTGCCTATGCTCTCCCTTCTCTCCAATAGTGCTTCAAATGAAAAATTTGAAGGGTGCAATATTCACTGTCACACTTTTCAACATATCCAGGGATGCAGAGATCTAAAACTAGCATGTATTTCATATTCATTTCCTACTCCTTAAAAAAAAAAAAAAAAAAAAAAAAACAACAAAAAAACCCACCAAAAAACCAACAGAAAAACCAACAAACCAGAATTGACTCCTGATTCAGTGGAAATGACTGTGCTTCGATCTTTCCACTCTAACTTTTGAATTGTTCCAGTTCAGATGTAACACTCTCACTGCAGAGGAGAGGCTGTGTTAGAAAATCTTTTTGCTTTTACAACTTAAAATTGTGGGGAGCTCATGAGATCAAATCTATTAGATCACTATGAAATTTAGGTGTGGAGAAACAGTGTAACTTGTTTAGTCCCTGGTTTGAGGCTTTCAAATTTAAAAGCATCTGGCACGGGTTCTGTGAAATGTTGTAGAGTGCGGTGGGATATTTTACAAGACCAAAATACCCAGTGAGATTTGATTTAAATACCAAGTAAAATGAGGCCTTGTTTGTGGAGTAGGAGTGTTGAAAGGTTTTGGATAGTACAAAACCCCTTTACTTTCAGTCTAATATAAGTACATGTAGTTTAGGAGGTAAAGTTTTCATGGATGTGGCAGCCAACACTATGATTAATTCCTTCCTTTTCAGAACTATAAATTAATGTGCAAAATTGAAACAAAAACGAATATAAAGAGGAAAGTGTAAGCAAAGTTAACACAGATCTTGCTAGAGTAGAGAAAAAGTCACGCACCCCACAGTGCGTAACGAAATGCAAACCACCGGTAAGCAATGAAGGGGAGCAGAAAAGCACTTGTTTTCCACTCTTTCAGTATGGAAGCAAAACATTTATAAACAGCATAGTTAAAAAAAATATATTGCTAAAGGCATTTTCATTATGCTAAAAAAAAATAAAAAGGAAAAATTACATTCCATGAAGAACTGCTCTATAACAATCTGCAATGAGAAATTAGGTGACAGGACTTTATCCTCACTCTGCAGTTCTTCCAGCGTACCTTCTGGCATTTATTTCTTGTAATCCTGGATAAAAATTTTGTTTTGTTGAAAAGACTCAGCACAAATACTTAGGTCTCACCAGCCTCAGCTGATAAGCAGTTTCATAGACAGAGAAGGTACCTCTCTGTACCCTGTTAGTGCAGAACAGGGAAGCAATCAAAGGCTTGCCTAGCATAGAATTTCTTCAGTACTGTTGAACTAATTGTGTAATAAGTTACAGTAGACTAATCACAGAAGTTGGCTGATTAATACAAAGATACTGGACTAGTCCTGTTTAATTCAGAGACATTAATCAACTAAGAAAACCATAGCAATACTCACACTAAACACAGTCAAACCAATCAATGTCTATTCCAGACTCTACACGTGTATGCTCCATAAGGATGCTTGCTAACTGTATGATGGGACTATTTCAATGGGCAAAGTCTAGCAAGACTGAAAATGCGTGCAGTCAGTTTGAATATGAAGGTTAAAGGACCCACTACTTTGCATAACACTGGTCTCTATCATAACAACAGCCAGCTACTCAAAATCAACTGTAAAAACGCTGCTTTTTATTTCCTTTAAACCACAGCTCTGGAATATTCTCCTTAATACTATTTAAAATTTTATTTTCTGCAGACTGGCATGTTTCCTTCAGCCTTTCATCATTATTATTGTGAGTTCTTTGGAAGGCCCTGGGACACAGAGGCTGAAAACACAGAGCCAGTCTCAGCATTCATTCTCGATGCTGTTTCTAGGTTTTCCTGTCTTCCTTAAAGACAAGTTGATGAGGATTTTATAATAAATGAGAAAATCTCACAAAATACAGAAGTATGTCTATCTCTCTGGGTAATTTTTTCCTCTCCTCCCCTAAATTTATTCCCATTTTTGAACATGCTGAGCTGCACTGAGTGGGTAAGCATGGAGATCAAACCACCACTGCAGACGTACTGCTAGATAGTATTACTACAAAACAGAGCATGGATCCTGCTGGAGGCAGAGGGAAAGCTTTGTTTCCCCCTGTGCTGGTGAAGGGTACTGTGACGCGCAGAGGGAAGGGATCCATCTCCCAGAGAAATGCATTGCACAATCCCTCTTTCTAGGACTTAAGCCCAAAACACCCATCACAACACATTTCTGAATCTCCCACCTGTCAGCATTTACTGGGCACTGCAGATTCCCACTGGATGAGGGGCTCTGGAACAGTTGATAGTCCCAGTCACACACATCCCTCAGGAACCCAGGAGACTCAGCACATGTGCTGTGCAGTGTTGCAAGACTGAGAGTCACCCCAACTGATGTAAAAGGCTTTCTTAAATCTCTGCTGACCTCAGTTCTGCAAACTGCATTGTACAATGATTTGATTATGAACACTCCTGTTGCCTCTCTTCTTTAACTGAAGGAGCATCATATGCTTTTTCTAGGACAGTTTCCATACAAGGGGGCAGAACAAAGCTCTGTGGCTGCTCATTAAGCTAATTTACAAAACTGATGGGAAATGGGCAATAATAGCCATGCTCTCACTGCCTTTGATCTAAGCTAATTTCATACCTTTGAAATGTATCAGTGGTGTTAAATGATGGAACAATTCAACATGCATCTTCCTTCCCTTAAATATATCAGTATGGCTCAGAATTGTAGCTGGAGGCATTTAGAGACAGTGACATTAATCAAAGTGGGTTACTTCCTAATACTATAAATACTTACTAATTTTGCTAGTTTCAGACAGAATATGTCCTTTAAATATGGTAATTACTAGAGAAAGTGTTCTAAAATTAGTTACTTACAATTAACTAAATGACTTTTTCTTTTTCATTTCTAGTATTTTCACATTATTCTTATAGAGGCTCATCTTTAGCTCTTTTTGTTTACCAAGTGACATTTCAGAGTGAGATTTTTTTTTCCCCATTTGACCTGCTACATAAAATATAACATACATAATGAAAAATCCATTTCTGCTTCAGAGCTCTATCTTGTTTGTAAGTGACATTTTCTTTCTTTGTTAACAGGTCAGGAGAGTGATTTCCTTGCTGTCCTCTATGACTATCCTTCACCAGACATAAGTCAACCTATTTTTCATGTAGGGGAAAAACTCCGCGTGATATCAGAGTAAGTTGATCTTTTCTTTTTAAATTAGGTTTTATTACAATTGATGCAAAGTTCTTTTTTTGTGCACCTGGCCCAAACTGGATGCAGTTCAGCACAAGGAACTGAGTTCAGAATTTGCAAGGAAGGATGCTTAGCCATGGTGTAAATTTCCCTAGAGTTTAAGGACTTGGGATTTCAGATTGTTCTTTGATCCTTGGTTTCCTCTGACACCGTTTCTGAAGCTGGATTCAGACTCTGTTCTAAAGTAGGACTCAAAACAGAATTCCGCTTTGAAAAATAATCTTGAGGAAGTAGCTCCCCCCATGTTAGTGGGAAAGAGAGTAAGTGCAAAAACAGTTTGCTCTTCAAATCAAATAGAAAAGGAAAATGATTCTGAATTTCTCTATGCCAAGTGTGTCTCATTTTCTCTCTCACCCTTTTTATCTAACAACTTTTTTTATGATCAGGTCTTAAAATTTCACCCTAAATTTAAGGCCACTCTAAAATAAATGAAATAAAAATATGAGGGTTTTTTTCTTAATTTTTTAATTGAATCTGCATTTTCTTGGGTGGGAGAGATCAAAGGTTTCCCAGCCACCTCCAGTCAGAAATTTTGAGCCCCAGAAAAAAGCTTGAGACGACTAGTTCAGACTGACTTTAGCATAGTGCAACTACTGCCACACCTTCAACAACACACTTCTTGAAGAATGGAAACCAGCATCCCTGCTATTCTTTTATCAGCACAGAGTGACCTCCTCGGAGTTACTCGGCCCCACAGCCACTGTTGGCACTGCTTAAAGGGAAATGAGAGATTTCATTTTTGCAGCTGGTGGAGCAGATGGATTCAAGGGGAGACATTCACAGCAGAGAAATAGTCTGAGAATTTCTAAATTCAGTTAAAAAATTCTCTACCTGGAGAAGTCAGAGCATCAAATGGTTGGAGGGCAGAAGCACTGAAGTATCACAGAGAACTGATGAATTTTCGCACTCTTCTCCAGGCCATGGTGACACACAACGGCCTTTGTCATCAACAAGATACAGGGCTATGTGGACTTCTGGTCTGACCCAGAAAGGCTACCGTCATGTTCTGCTGACAAAGTGCTTTCCCTGCCTCCCTGGACCTAGAGGTCACAAAGCTCAGACAATACTGCTAGATGAATTTTCTGCTGATGGAGAACTTCCCTAAATCACAGGAATTCTTCTTTGGTAACTTCTAGTGAGTTAAGCCTTGCACCAGCTTGTGTAACATGCACAACATGGTACAACTGCTTTAGTTTGGAAATTCCAGCTTAAAGCTTTGCTCCTGGCTTTGATCAGCTACGGGCCCTCTTAACGCCACACAACACAGGCCCGTACCAATGGGAATTACACGTGTGGCATGTCACATGCGTACATGTGCTGTGTTGCATGATCCACTGGACAAACAACTTTTAAAATAACTAGACCTCTGCAGAAGCAGCTTTTATCACATTTGCCTGTTGTGCAGTGACCGAGAGCCTCTCCTAACAGTAAATAAGAGCCAAAGCAAGCCTTGATGGAAACCTTCCTCTTCCTGTTTTGAATCAGCTTGCTCACAGAAGACAAGACACTCCAATGCTCTATGCAAAGCACAGTGTCCTAACGAAGGGCCTGTTCTTCCCTGCTGGGGTATGTGCAGATGTTAATAGGACTGTTTGCATACAGAATCTTGCTGCACATAAGCTGTAGGTATGATTTTTTTTTCTCGAGTCATGCAAAGAAGCAAAATGCAGTGAAGAGCAGCACGGCAGGCGCGACCAGAGCACGACTGATGAGGAGTCACGACAGAAAAGACAGCATGAGCAGGCAGCACATAGTGTTTTTATAATGGCAGCTTTTCAGCTTTCCACCAAAACAATTGAGTGGCAGCAATCAGCCCCACCAGTCGTGCCAGGAACATGATATGTGGAACCCACGTAGAAAATACAACTCCTTACAGATACTTGTGTCTGCTCTGGGTTGGCAGGATTAGATAAGCACCACTGGCCCAATTTCTCACTCTCCACACTTGTCAGGCACCTTTCATTACCAACTGCATTTAGCTGACAGATGTCCTCCAATGATCTCCTGAATCTATATAATTTCTGTGGCATCTGACCCAGGAGGGATGTGCTGCTTTGGGACTTTTAATCGTCATAGGGATTTTTCAGGGTTACTAATATTATAGTTTGGACAGAGGAACATGCGAGTCTCTCAGGATTTTTGTTCTTGCAATTCTTGGTTTGTCTGGGAGAGTTGCAGGAAAAAAAAAAACAAACCCAAACAAACCCAAAACCAAAATAACCTAAATTTCTTATAGAATATTCCATGTCAGCTGGAAACTCACAAACAAAACTTGTGGGGCACTGAAATTTCCAGCTCTGAGCCGCAGACACTTCTCCTTTTCTCTCAGCATATACAGCCTGGACCATGATCCCAACAACTATAACTCAGGAGGTTTAACTTCAGTGTTTTCAACTTGGCTCTTTTGACATACATTGACAAACTGGTCTGCAATCTGGGCATTATTTGGGAGCATTTATATGAATGTCCACAAAAAGACCATTAAAAGACAGGCACACTGTTATTTAGATGCAAAAAGAAAAAGTGGAGAGGACCCATCAACCATTGTAACTCAGCCTTGCCACAACCCCTTTCATTAAGCACTAAAGCTCCACAGCATCCCTGTGAAAATTCTTGTTACCCTGCCCTTTCGAAGGGATGCAAAAGCTAAAGCCAGCAATTAATGGTATAGAAAAAAAACTAAGATGCATTAGTGAAAAAAAACATATGCCTCATCGCCTAGTTTCAGTTATGAGGGTTTTTTATTAGAACCTGGTCAGCATCTCACCAAAGAAAAGAGAAAGAGCAAACCATGAATGAGGTCCTGTTAGACTGAAAACCTGTTCCCAGGCAGATAGAGTCCATTTGCCGAACATCCACCCTGATGTTATGCAAGTAACTAGAGGGCTGTCCAGAAACAGCATACTCAGCCATAAGCTTAATATCTTGGATACCAGTACAAGTCCAGCTGTGGGAAGGCAGAGCACAGCATGGTTTAACCACTGAGTATTTACCCTTCCTCTTTTAACTGCAGAAAAATATTTTATTACTTACGTAATTTAAGTGGAACAAATGGACCTTATTCCTGTGTCCAAATTTAATCCTAATGTAGGTTTAGAAATGGAACTACTCTAAATGAAACAAACTTGGGTCCTTTTCTGAATATGCAGAATCAGGAACGCAGACACAAGGTTACAGGCTAATCTGTAGCCTTAAATGAGCCTTAACTCATTTCTAAAATGTGGACAAGTTCCGAAAGTAAACCTGAAAATGTCCCTCCTCTTGCTTTCACACAGTGAAGGAGGCTGGTGGAGAGTCCATTCCCTAACAACAGGTCGAGAAAACTATATTCCAGGAAAATATGTAGCAAAGGTTTACCATGGGTAAGTAAATGCATTTCCTATAGTCTTTCAACACTACATTTGTACATACACTTCCCTGACTAGAGTTACTTAGTGTCATAATCAAAGCAATGCCAATACTGACTAGGCAGACAGAAATTTTATTTATTGATAGTATAAAATAGTTCCTTTGAAATCTGAGAACATCAAATCCACTGCTAAGTTTAGGACACATGGAAAGGAAAATCCTAGTTTTAGAAGTTATAAAGAGGAAAAAAACCCCCTTAAACGTCATATATTTACAATAGTTCTGTTGCATGGTTGGATCTCTAATTTTAGGATATGGATAAAGAGACCTTGTTTAGAAAGAATTATTAATATTTACACAGTGTAAAATTTAAGCTAGCGTTGCTCATGAAAAACACACCAGAAAGAGCAAATAGAAAGGCTTATAAGCCATTCAAGAATGTAAACTCACACTGGAAGAACTAAGGAAGGTTCAGAGGTTTCTTGTTTCCCTAGACACCAGTCAGGAAAAAAATATTGAAACACACACTTAAAACTTTTCTGGCAAAAGTTTTAATACCTGTTTAATTTTAAGCATATGAACTGCAAACTTCACTGTGATTTACACAAGTGCTTAAATTTTAATGTGTTTTTACATCCACCTGACACAGAGATGCTTTCCCAAAGACAGGGCACAGGTATGGTAATGGAAAGCTACTGGCTTAAGTTTTCCCAAGACCATTTTGCTAATAGTAGATTGGATCGAATCTTACTGAGGAAGACAATCAGTAAGACCAGTTCCACTTCCCTTATCCACAAAGCCAGTTAACTGAAATAATTGAAGTGTGCCCTAGCACAAGTAGAAAAATCCTTTCATTTTGTGTTTATTTCCAATACAATAAAATAAAATTTGGAGTTTACAAAAGCGGTTTAAATGAACTAATCCCAAAGATATGCCATCAGTATATCACATGGATGTGTCCGTAACTATTCAGATCAAGGCAGCTTGAAAAGTTTTGTTTTCCCTAATAAGTCCAGACTTTACTCACTCTTCTCTTAGTCCCACATAAGTTAATGGAACTCAATACATGAAAAAGGAGAGCAAGATTTTCTCCATAAACTGGGGAAATATGCCTGGACACAGTTGAGAGAATAACTACAGAAAGCCACAGTGTTATTTTTGCAGTCACTTTTCCTGGCTAATGCTGCCCTTTCACGGCCACATGCTGCTCTCTGTTTCACTGGTGTCCAAATTTCAGAATTTGTTTTTTCCTGCTTCACAGCTGGTTATTTGAAGGGTTGGGAAGAGAAAAAGCAGAGGAACTTCTACAGCTACCCAACACCAAGGTTGGCTCCTTCATGATCAGAGAGAGTGAAACCAGGAAAGGTGAGAAAATATGATTTCACACACACACACACACCCTGCCCTTGATCTGAGGCATTAACAGTTTTACAACTCTTTAATTCACTCCCTGTCCTGCTTAATATGGATTAGTCTGAAACCAGAAAATGTATGTAATGGGAAGGCAAAGGCACCTAGTGCAGCATGCCAGTCTTCAGCAGTCACCTACGCTACGAGCGGTGCTGGAAACCGGGTTAGCGATGGCCATGGAAAGTTCCACAGGCATCAGCACAAACAAGACACAGTTGTCTAAACACCATTATTTATTTTGGTCGCATGCAATGCCTATGAGGTGGTGGGACTTTTTAAATGGAGAAAAAGTCACAGCTTTGCCTCGGACCACAAAAGAGTGAAAAAACTGTAAGATACACACCAAGCAGCGAGGGTGGCTGATAAGTGGATTTCTTATATAGCCAGGTGATTCTTTTATTTATTTTTTAAAATTACATGGCTTCTTTTTTATTTTTTTTCCTTATGTAGCAATTCTGTTACTACATGGGAATTGTTACATTCACACTTTATACGTTTATTCTCTACCGGGAATTCATCTCCCGTTGTGCAACATGGTATCATCCCTTTTTCACAAGCACCAGAACACATCCTAAGATCATGATACTGCAGTTATAAGGGAACAATAAACCATCTACTCTAACCTTTTGCATAACACATGCCAATTAGTTTTTTTAACGCCTCTACTAAATTAAAAAAAATTTAGGACCAACATTCAGTCCTTACTAACTAAATGCTGCACAACAGTTTTAAACAAAAAAGCAGGAAGATCCAAGTTGTCACCTCCTGCCAGGCCTGCATTATCAGGTACCATCTTCTGCACTGGCAGGAGCTGATTGAATCAGCGTACCAGCAGATGAGTATGGTCCCCACCTTCAGAGGAAGGCAAATAACCTTACACCATTTCAAAAAATCCCATACGAGCAAAAACAATGGAAAAATACACCAGAAATTTGGAGTTAATCAATATGTCAAACCCTGATGTTGGGCCCTGTATTCCCTTTGTTATACTTAAGGATATAAAGTATACAATGTATGTAGAAATTAGGATGGCCATTCAGTTTTTTTCAGAACTTTCTGGGACCTCTTGGATCATGGCATCACATATTATGGATACTCTGATTGTGATCAATGCTATCCATCCAGAATTAGGGCTTTAATTAGTAATTAGTCTTACTCTTTCTCCAGGGTTATATTCCTTGTCAGTGCGGCACAGGCAAGTGAAACATTACAGAATCTTCCGCCTTCCAAATAACTGGTATTACATCTCTCCACGGCAAACCTTTCAGTGCCTTGAAGACCTTGTGAATCACTACTCAGGTAATAAGAACTGCAGAATAAACATATTTTCCACTAGCAACTGTAAAACTATACATCAAAGGTCCAGAACAAGAACTTTTGCCTCTAGCTGAGACGCGCACCTACTGTCACAGAACAAGTAATGGAAAAAACTTTGGTTTCTATCTTTTACTTTATTTTTGATCCTAAATAGAAATATGTTACTCCTAACAGTACAACTGAAATCAATCCAAGAACTCTGCTAAATAAAGACAGATAGGCTCTGCCCATATTGGCATATGATATTGTATGGCCATGCCCATCAGAGCTCTCCCTAATACTATTTTGGTCCAAACACTAGTGCTTAGTACTCCCCTGGACAACATTCAAATACAGTCTGTAGGTTAGCACAGCGCAAGGATGCCCAGCCCCTCTCAGAGCACAGCTAACATCAAAGTTTAGGTGTACAAAGATGTTAAGCTGTACAGATGCAAGTCTTGTTTCTGGGTTCCAGGGCCAGAGTTCAACTCATGGCTCACTTGGTTTAGCAGCACGGACATGTCTGCCAATTATTTATTTATCATGTAGACAGACAGGTAGCATCAGGACATGCAAGACCAGGTTCTGCAATCACATTTCTCTTAGGAGCTACTATATCACACAACCTTATCTGCAGCAGAAAATTCTCAGAAGTGTTGTTAGCTTATTCCCTATTACTTAAGAAGGGCATGGCTGGATTTTATCAACAGATTTTATCTCAAGAGGCCCAGTCTGTTAGCTCAAACCTAGATTCAGCTGTCATTTTTACTAACATCAGTCCAGTAATTGACAACTGGTTTAGTGATAATTTTCCAGATTTATGGCAATTTAACATGTGTCAGATAACTTGACAAACCATAGAATTAAGTGGCTGCAGTTACCATGCAATAAAATGACAACATTTTAAAATGAGGACGTAAGATTGCAATAAGTTAATTGCATAAAAATTACAAGAGAACAATAGCTTCTGTGCTTTAATTAGTAATGGGTATTCAGCTTTGAAAAGTGTAAAGACACCATATCTGTGTATTTCATAGGTAAATGAAAAAGTGTGTTGGACTAAGATTACTCAGATAAACTGGGGAGAAAAGCTGTATTCACATTCAAACATGCAAAAGAAACTTTCCAATAATATAAACAGAGGAGTAAGAATTTAACAGACATTGGGTTTTGGGTGGGATTTTTTACATTTTAGTTAGCTGATGCCCTTCTCCATTTAGAAATAAGCAAACAACTGAAAACTAAATTTCTGGCATGGGGGGAATCCAAAACTTAAAACAATTAACGCTGTTACTTGAGTTATAGATGTAAGAGCAGACAGTGAGACTCAGCTCTCCTCCTTCCTCATGAGATGACACAGAAATAAGGCTCAGAGGTGTGAAACAACAGCATTTAGCCATGATGTTCTCTGCTTGGGCAGCAGAACATATGTTCTGTTCCTGCTGGGGCAAGTAGAAGGGGATGGAGGAAGAAACAGCTGAAAGTAACCTCAATGCAGCACGAATATGTGAACCTTGATTCATTTCAGAGCAATATTCCACAGCAGAATAGGTGCATATAGAATCATAGAATGGTTTGGGTTGGAAGGGCCCTTAAAGACCATCTAGTTCCACCCCCCCTGCCATGGGCAGGGACACCTTCCACTAGACCAGGTTGCTCAAAGCCACATCCAGCCTGGCCTTGAAGACAGCCAGGGATGGGGCATCCACAATATACAATCCAATCTGAGTGGATGCATCTTGTATTTGTTTTGCACTCTGTTTGCATGGCTGAGACGATGGGAGGCAAAAGCAGAACTCACTGAGGACTCAGGAAACCTGGGTTTAAGTCCCTGCTCTGTCACAAGCTTCCTTCTAGACTTCAGGAAGGTCACATTATCTTTCTGTGTCTCAGTTCCTCACTTGTACTGTGGGAAATATGCACCATAATAAATTAAAAGGCAAAGGTAAGAGGAAAGGAAAAAGTCAAGCCTGTGTTACAGTGTCCTTGCTGAGAACACACAATTTATTGGCTACCGCTACTGTGTCCAAAACTGTTTATTTGAGCATGCACCAGGGAAGGAACACAGTGAAGATAACAGTGAGAAAAGATTAACTTTCTGTGTATTCACTTCCCTGTTCAGAAGTTGCGGATGGTCTCTGCTGTGTCCTTACAACACCCTGTCTCACCCAGTGCGCTAACAGCATAACAAATCAAGTTCCTCCTGTGGTGATGCGGAGTAAGAACTTCAACTGGAGAAACGTCCACAGGTACCACATACAGCACAGGCTGCCAGAAACAGCAAGGTTTTTTCCTGCCTTGTATATACGTAGAGTTACAACACAGAAGAAACAGCCATTTCCTTCTCTTGAGACCAGTTTTAAAGATTAGACAATTTTCAAAGCTGCTGACAGCCAAGTTAACCCATGAAAACTGCATGTCCAGCTCTCCAACTGATAATTTTGGTCTAACTTGGAGAGAAACTACAGTTAACCCTAAATCATTTCACCTATCCAGCTAAGAGTGTGGCCACATATGCAGTCACTCAGAGTCATGAGTCCTCTCCACCAAGGGGGCAGGCTGTAAAGCCCGGACAGATCCACCACCACTGACGCACTAATGTGCAATGGCTTGCAGACGGGCCCCTCTAATCAGAAATGCCTCCCCCTTGCTCACATGGTGCCTATCCACAGAGCAGCACAAGTGTAACAAACACGTTATCCCAGCATCAATCTTTCCTGCCGTGTTTGCCTCAATACGCAGCTCAACTTGAGGTTCATGAGATTTCTAATGTCATGACTGCAACTAGAGAAAGTAGGTCAGGTTTCAGAAGCTGGTGAAACAACCACCTTCAGAAACAAAAGCACCTCTTATTTTTGAACTGTAAATTTCTCTCCACTACCTCCTTCACCAAGCATATTCATTTGCTTACAAAGGCAAGAAAATTTTGTGCAGTATTGATGCCAAAAAATATTTAGGTAATACTGTTGTACTGATTGTTTCAGAAAATCACTAAGTGACCGAAGGTTTGGTGATTTATCAGCCTGAGAATATTTTATATAACCAAATTAACATCATTTTGTTTAACAACTGTTAATATCATATATTAATATTAATATTATAATGGGATCAGTTCATGTAGCTGAAACGATAACAAAATTTTGTTCTTTTAAAGGCTGGAGGTGACCGAAGATACTGAAAGCACCCTGGCAGCAATGGATGATTCTTGTCTCAGCTATGGCCTGAGGGAAAGTATCACTTCCTACCTCTCCTTGACAGGGGATGACACTTCTTTTGCAAGTCCCAGAAAGAAGAAAGCCCAATCTCTTATATACACAGGGAGCAAACGTAAGAGTACATTTCACTTGCCACCTACATACTATGAGGACTAAATATAAGGCAACCAGGACAAAATAAAAAAAAAACCACCAAAACAAACAACTGAGGGGTCAGAAGAAAAACCCAGAACATCCTGAGGCCCTGCAGTCCTTGGACAGCTGAGAGATTCAACCACACCAGCTGATGATCAAACACTGCAATGATTCTGCATTTCCTCTTCTGAATGTTAACCAGAGACCTTAAGGGTGTGTAAGCCACGGCATATACTGGGAACATCCCCGGTGCAACTGAAGTTAAAACCTGCTCTCAAGCAGATAACAACATAAACTGAGGTAGACTCTAAGTCAAGAGCCAGGTGAGGCAGATGACTCTTCAGGAAGTGTGATGCCCCACAATGTACAAAGACAGGGAAGGAGTAACTACAGCTCAAGGATTTAAATTATTACCCTGGTATTCTCCACATAGCTGAAAACCATCTTTACAAAACCTACCTACACTGAGAAAAGGAGCCTTTTTCTTCTCCATATAGACTCTTTGATCGTCATTGACAGTGGGTCAAAAAGTCATCAGAAATCCCTAGAAAGTATCCAACATTTGGTATCCAAGAAACAACTGATTACATTGACTCCATACTTCTTTTATTTTTACCTCTGAGGGGAAAAAATTAAAATCAATGACTTTCCAAGTGGCATTTAATTAAATGCTGGTAATCGCCTGGAGTGTCACAAAGTTAAGAACTGGCTTAACTCACTGAGAAAAGTAGTTCCTGCTTAGCCCTGAGCTAGGAGTACAGGCATATCCCCAAGCGTAACTCACCTGCTCACAGTCTAGCAGTTGTACAACAGAGAACAAAGGGTTTTCAAAGTGAAAAGTAAAATGTGGTAATACTATGCCTAACTGCAAAGGTAGGCTTGCAGAGGTGTGACCTTTCATGTGTAGAGGACCAGATTTTAACCTCATCTCTTGAAGGTTCCCCCATATTTATGTATAATATTTATATTAATAGAAGTTGGGGTTTTTTAATAATTAAACTAAAAAAGCAAATCAGCAAACGTGGATGCTAAAGAGTTTTCTGAATTTCTTGTCTGAAAAGAGTTATGTCAAATAGCAATTGCACATCAAATCGCTTAAATATTTGTAACATGGTTATCTCAAATCTCATGGATTAGAGAATTTATATATATATATATGTACCCTTTCTAAGTTATAAAGGAGCAGATAACATGGTCCTTTGAACCTGACTTGTGATTGCTATTTAAATCAAGTATTCACTCACATCTGGGGGTTTAAAATGCTGCAATCTATGTTCTTCAGCAGAGATCTTTTCTGTATACTGTTCTGTCATACCTTTTTGCACAGATTTGCGTAATGAAGGTTTGGAAAGATAGGAAATAGTGGTTTTATATATATATTCCCTTTGTACATACTTCTTGGGACAAATCTGTGTTCTCTTTAGACCTTGTAACAGATCATTTGCACTAGCAAGAGAGATTCAAAGATCAAAATAGTTCATAGCCTATTTAAAAATATTCCAGATCTTAAAGGATGAATGTAATTTGGCTGGTAAACATTGAACATCACAAATCAAAACAAACTCAGGAACTCTAGGCATTTTTATAACTGTTACTGATCATTAATATGTTATGGTGACTGTAGTGAAATGTATATGGGAAGCATTACAGGTTTCTAAGTCATGATTTGTATTTATTCATTAAAGTAATATCCAGTAGTTACTTTGTATTGCTTTTAGAAAGTGTAAAACCTAGCAGGCAACTAGTACAAACATCCAGTCTTGCAATGACTCTGCCAGAAGGTATCTTTGATGGAACGTGACAAAAGAATCCAAGAGCCCAAGTAATTGGACAGCACTTGGACTATGCTCTGTAGGAAGGGGATATGACATGTTCTGATGACAACAGGTTCACACAATCAAAGGCCAGTTCAGGCTGGAAGGAACCTCTGGAGGTCACTTGGTCCAACCCCCCTGCTCACACAGTGCCACCCGCAGCTGGTTGCCCAGGACCATGTCCAGACACTTCTGAATATCTCCAGGGATGGAGAATCCACAGCCTCCCTGGGTAACCTGTGCCTGTGCTCAGCCACCTTCACAGTGAAGAAGTGTTTCCTGATGTTCAGCGGGAACCTGCTGTGTTTCAGTCTGTGCCCATTGCCTCTGGTTCTGTCACTGGGCACCACTGAAAACAGCTTGGCTCCTTCTTTAAAGCTTCCCTTCAGGTATTTATATACATTCATAAAATCCCCCTGAACCTTCTCTAGCCTAGGGGATATGTCCTGTAGATAATCATAGGATCAAGGGTATTTGGGGTCCATGTCAGACAGCCCTGTACCTGATCGCAGCAGTTCTCAGCTGGGCAATAAATCTGCTCTTCCCACTACTGTCTGGCCTGCTTCTGTGGCCAGGAAGGACCTATCATCTTCCCCCATTGCGTGGGGATAGTCTGGGAGCTCTCCTCCTGACACGCATCAGCAAACAACTGGAAGGAACACCTAACACATCTGCCCTCCACAGCCTCCTGAAAGAGATCATAGAATCATAGAATCTTTTAGGTTGGAAAGACCTTTAAGATCATAAAGTCCAGTTGTTAACCTAACACTGCCAAGTCTACCACTAAACCATGGCCCTAAGCACTTTGTCCACACATCTCTTAAATATCTCCAGGGATGGTGACTCAACCACTTCCATGGGCAGCTCGTTCCAATGCCTGAGAACCCTTTTGGTAAAGAAATTTTTCATAATATCCAACCTAAACCTCTCCTTGCACCGCTTGTGACAGT